ACTAAAACGTCAAATTGTAATTAACGATGTGAAGTTTTAATTAATAATTAATGTTATTGAACTCGTGATGTTATCAAAACATATTAATGACCGTCAATAATATATGATATAAGTTTTTCAGCTTTCGTTTTCACCGTTGCGACTACATTATGTAACATATTCAAAGGCTGATCAAACCCTTTATAGTTTACCGTTATTTAATCACGCACGGGGTGGCTACTATAGAATGAGCATAAATCATCAATCATCCTCCTCCTGCTAGATTGAGAAATAGTTGGCGTAGTGCCAGGAAGCCCACGTGTCGCAGCGTACGTGGCTCATGCCTGATGTTGCCATCTAGATTTCCACCCGTCGTCCGGTGCAGTCGCGCCAATCATTATAAGTTCGGGTTCGTAGCGACGTGTTGAGAATCTAGGCAGATGCGATCTGGTCCTGAGTATGTTTACATAGTTACATGTAGGCTGCTGTGTGTGAGAACAAAATCGCTGACCAACCGCCAATTGTGGGTGTATCATGACGCAGCAGAGAGCGCAAGAGATGGATGTTGTGTTATGACGATAAGTATACATAGTGACTGAGACAGTGATAGCGATGGATGGCCTAGCAATGAAGATTTCGCCCGTGTAAGTAGCATGCATGCAGGATACTTCTACTTCTACTTTTATACTGGACAGTCGTGAGGAATAACGTCCAGGACACAGGCACTTGGCGCGTTTCAATAAAATATAATGCTAAATAAATACGAAATCTATTTACTACCAAAGTCTTATTCTTAATGTTTCTATACTCTCTTTCACCTATTATTGCCGACAATTTCCTGTAAATGCCGTCCAAATGCTCATCTACAACAAACACTGGCTGCCGCTGCACACTGATACATAAATAAATAAATATATATATATATATGTATAAAAATATATATCTAAAATATCTAAATATATATTTATGTGTCAGTGTGCAGCACTGAAGCGGCAGCAATGGCGGCATGCAGCCAGTGTTTGTTGTAGATGAGCATTTGGACGGCATTTACAGGAAATTGTCGGCAATAATAGGGGAAAGAGAGTATAGAAACATTAAGAATAAGACTTTGGTAGTAAATAGATTTCGTATAATTATTTAGCATTATATTTTATTGAAACGCTCCAAGTGCCTGTGGTCCAGGATAGATCGCGTGTGCGCGTGCGTGTGTGCGTGCGTGTGTGTGTGTGTGTGTGCGTGCGTGCCTGCGTGCGTGTGTGAGTGAGTATAAGCCGCGGCCGTATCCTCTCTACGGTCGCCCGACGGCGTTATAGAGGAGGTGCGGTGACTTTTCTGTAAAATATCTCTGTCGTCAATGGCCGCGGACAACAGATAAACTGGTAAAAACGCCGCGGTCGGCGCGTGTCGATGGTTGGAGACCGGTTATAGGGCCGGCTGCACGCATGTACGCGGTGCGCATAGCTTGCGGCAGAATATGCCGCAAAGCAAGAAACGTTCGCGGTATTTGTATGGGCATTTAGTCTCACGGTCGTAGGTCCTACTACCTCTAGATCTGCTATAGTTGCCGTGCTAAATGGAACGAGACAACAGTGTGTTCCGCATGCGCGTTGTTTATTCCTTTGCAAGCTAGGTTACTGTCGGGTGTGCAAGGTCTGTACAATTATTCCGACGCATGGCAAATGTGTAGGGAAGCTGCTTGCTACCCGTGATCGTATTAGTGATTACGCGTGAGTGTGGACCTCAGAGATGGCAACCACTACGATTTATCCGTATTTTATACGAATTTCTATTCCTTTTGCACCACTACGACCAGTTTGTATCAAACTACGAATTTCACTGTGATAGAAAACTTTTATTTGTTAATTATTGTCATTACCCTCAGAATGCAGGAAATTGCATCTCAGAATCGAAAATTTTTCCGGGGGGCATGCCGGACCCCCCTAGCAAACTCGGGTCACTACGTGACCCTCGAACTGCTAATTTAATGGCCAGAAACTACAGATTGCTTCAAATATGTGTTGGCATCTCTGGTGTATAACACCCTTTGCTAACGTCTATCGGAATCATATTATAAAGAACACAACAACACTGGTATACGTATTCAGTGACTCTCTTTATATGTAGGGGGGGGGGGCCTACTATCAGGAGTAGATAATAGGGAATCCCTATTATCTACTCCTGGTACTATGTATAACTCCATAACAAGGTATGCGCGTACACTATAGGTTTACGCGAGACACGTCATAACTTACTAGGCTAATGCTGGGTCGTCCGTTAGTATGTAAATGTGCAATATCTCCGTATCTATCTCTGTCTGTATCTCTGACTGTTCATCGCTCTCTCTCCAAACCAGAGATTATATGCCCAAACTGGAGACCCGCCTATCTTTGTTTATCGGCAACCTGCTACAAGCTACCGCCTGTAATTGGTTGCTTCTGGGCTACTCGCTAGCCCAGGGTCACGCCTTACACAGCTGGGCCTGTACCCCAAACTATAGAACAATAGCTTAACAGTGCGTATTTATTATTATGTATATCTGCGGTATTACAAATGTTCTGTCAGTCAACTGGTTGTTGGTGTTCAGCTATTTGGTTGAAGCTATATGCTATAACCTGCGTAGCTCTAGTACTATAGCCCTTCGCTCCGCCAAAGCTAAGCAGGGAGGGAGCTAGGGAGCCGCTGCGGCGGAGCGAAGGGCTATATATAGTACTAGAGCTATAACCTGCGATGTCGGTCAGTTGATCCCTGTGCGTGACCGTCGTTGCTGTGCTTCTTGCGTGTTTTTATTTTTATTTATTTATTTAGGCAATTATCCATCATATACAATACATTGCATACTTTTACAATAAAAATTTGAATTCATAAAATTGGATAATTACCAAGGATATATAGTATATTATATACACAAAAAGCATGACTAGCACACTTATTTACATTGTGGTCCTTGTTTTGCTATGCCTTGAATCTAACAATTGCACTACTATCAGAACTAACTATTGAAATATACAGATTTGCGTGTGCGTTGGTCTTTGCATAGATTTCGTGATTCTCTATGACTTTAAAACACGAGTTGTTGGCATTGATGGCTTTTCGTAACTGGATATGCCGGAACTGGACAGTTTAGTAATTGCATGGCAATTCGCTAACTATACGATAGCGTAGCTCTGGCAGAGCTAGATTCACTCCACTCGACATGACCACCATTGAATATTGTTTAGTAGGAAATACTATTATCTATACCGAATTAGAAATAATATTTATACATAAAAGTTTCTATAATTGAGCGGTCTGAAACGGGGATGACAACGGAACTTGTCGTGTGCAAGGTTTCTAGGGGGTCGAGGGGTCTGACCCTTCGTTGTCAGGGATACGTAATCGTGTATAGACTAGCACGAGTGCGAGTATATAGCATAAATAATATCCTGATATGTTATCCTGATAATAACGAGTAGCTGCGAACCGGACACGCAGGCATATTGCGCGCCGGCGGCGAGCATTATGCCGGAGCCGGACACGTTGTTCCGTGATACGCAACATTCACGGAAACAGTCAGCATGACGTGTATCAGTGCTTAGATTTAAGCGAAGCCTGATGACTGTACACAGGATGGAAATCCTAGCAGTGGCCTGATCTGGTCATCCTGAGCTCCACAGGTATAGTTGACATTTGACTCCGTATGGTACCAAGTACCTGTAGCGGAAGCGAAGGAGCTACGCCGATAGAGCCAGTATGCGTCTAGCTCAAAGAAACGGTCAAGATTGCATGCTAATCACTTTGTATTACAATACTTTGTATAGACTATCAGTCGCGCAGCCTCGCCGGGCTAGTATGCGTCAAGAGTCAAATAGTAAAGGATTCTTATTATCATCATCAGAAAAAGTAAATAAACTTGTTTTCATTTCCTCCCGTTATCATCATACTCCTAAGCGTACTTAGAGTTAGAGATATTGTATCAGGAGTGATTGTATAGATGTATATTTGTTAGCAATGACTGACCTGTACTTAGCAGGCGGGCTGACCTACACGATCGAGGAGAGTGTAGCGTGATTCTAACTCATAAAAATGCTGGTGCGGTGCCAATACAGATAGAGGTGGCGTGCGGGACAGAGGGAGCGAGGGGAGCGAGCGAGAGAGAGGGCGAGAGGGGAGTGGGGGAGAGAGGGAGGATCGCCTACGTTGAAGAAATCCATGTAAATTACTTCTGCTGTTGTAGTACGTATTCTCTGTATTGCTGTGTTTATTACTACGCTACGTACGCGTACGTACGCAGAGAGAAGGGTGGGAGAGGCAGAGAAGAGAGAGAGGGAGAGATAATCATTTTCCCTGCAATGAGTGAACGAGTAGCGAGACATTGTCACGCGTAGGGTTGCACTATTAAGCGATGCAGCAATACTGTGTGTTGTACGTGCGGATTATATAGTTACTCAACTCCCAGGAGTAGTTCGCGACTATATGTCCTTACCTGCTAACAGTAGCGTATAGCTACGGCAATAGACCGAACTATGTTACATACACTAACCATGCATACCGTCCTGCCATCTTAATTATTTAACCCTTCATTGAAGTAATTAATTGGTCGTTTAACAAGTGAATTTTGTTAAAATTTGATATCCAATGGAATTAGGAGATTATGTCTACGATTTGACAATTTCTTGACAGTGTACTTGATCATTAGTAATTCGTTGCTGGAATTTATTATAATTGGATATTTAATTGTCCGTATAGTAAGTGTGAATAAGTGATAAAGTATGCTGGATCAAACTTAGATGTGATTTTAGTACACTGAGCCTGAGACATGTATGTTATTTTTTTGGGGGGGGGGAGTTGAATCGTTTTTTGAGGTATGAGATCCACACGTGCGCACGCTTATGTTTGTGTGTGTGCGTGCCTGCTTGCATTACTCATTGACTTATTACTTGCTTCTTGGAATAAGTTAATGACATAAACCGGAATTCGAATTAATAAAATAAAATTACCCTCAACATGACATGACACGTGAATTGACATTGTCTCCCTCACAGGGCGGACTGGAATGGACCCTTGGACACATCCCGCCATCTCGCCAACGGTGTCAAAGGTCAGCACGACAGCGAACAGAACGGCCCCACGGCGCCGGTGACCCCCGCGCTTCAGAATGGACACGCCCACGTCAGGGAGAGACAGCTGAGCGGTGGCTTCATACGTGCGAAGCCCGGGGACCCGCTGGAAGGTGAGCAGCACGCGGGAGCATAGCTGATGTGTGCTGCCAAGTGTCGACTACACATGCTGTTGCAAGCGCTACCATGGCAACGGTGCCACTGCCACTAATGCATGTTGCGATCCTACTCGGGAGCTGCGATCGGCACCACTAAGTGGCGTTCTCTCGTAATTGCCATTAATTTGCCGTTTCTTGTTAGGAAGCTTAGCTTCGTCTAAACGTGCAAGTCAGTGATGTCTTTCCAACTGTTGTGATTGTTGTTGTGAGTTGTTATCAGATATACAGAATAACAGTAGCAACTGTGTAGTATGCATGATCAGGGACCTTTAATTTAGATCCGTATTTCTTTATTATTTGTGCAAGGGAAATGATACATTTTACCACAGTATATCCTTTTTACTTGTCACAGAGATGTTAAATTCTTGTTATTACAACATTGTAAAAAATGGAAATGAATATTTTTACACTCTGTTGTTTTTCATCGTATTGCCTTAATTGTTACCTAGCTAATAGTGGGTTTTTGTGGTGGTTCAATCGAAGTGAAACCCATTATGAAAGCGTGCTCGTGACGAACTATTAAACAAATATATGACGCGTTGAATTACGGACGCAGGTCCCGATGAGGTTGTCCCGGCGACAGACTATTGGACATGCGACCCAGAGCAGCCAGTAAAGCTTAACATGTCGGACGATGGACCCTGGTCCGCTGCGCCGGTCAGCGTCGTCAGCATCTTCACGGAGAGGGCGCGCAAATTCCCTGACCACTGCGCGATGGTCGTGAAGCGTGATGAGCGGTTGATTAAGTGGACGTACCACGAGTACTACATAGATGCTCGCAAGGCTGCCAAGAGCCTTATCAAGGTACGGGTCGTGATGTGCGGCGTACACAGATAACAAGAGCTAATATTACCCAATTGATAATAATAACAAGATCCAATAATCACAAATTTGTGATTATTTACTCCTGATAATAACAAAAGCCAGTAATAGCTTAGGTTTGATTAGTTCTTGAAGATAGCGATAGGGTAAATAATAGCATGAACATATGTACAAGAATAATACTATCATACTTCATGATAATAGTGTAAAACTAAAGTAAGTACAGGTAAACGTAAGTAACATAAAAGTAAGTAGTATTACTTGCTCCCGATAGATGTGAATAGTCAAACCTGCATATAAGCGTTACTCAACATAAACCCTACAACTACAAGTGTCATTTATAGTCAGGCATATATTCTATAGATGTGGTTTTACTATATATAACTACCACCCAAGGGAAGTGTCCTTCATAGACAGGTGCCAATTCTATGAACCATGTGATCAATTGACCCTCCTCTGAGCTTAGTATTATATTATGGTTTTCTTTCCCAATCTTTTTATTTAGGAGGATTTTATTTAGCATTGAGCTATTTCTTTTTTGGAAAACTGACTCAGGATGTATATATATGTGTGTGTGTGTGTGTGTGTGTGTATACGTGCGCGTGCGTGCGTGCATTAATGAATTGTGAGCGATGGTGCTATAACCGATACTTTTACAGCTGGGACTGGAACCGGCGCATGGTGTGGCCATCATAGGATTCAACTCTCCAGAATGGTTCATCGCAGACATGGGTGCCATCCTCGCTGGGTACGTGTGTGCTTGTGTGTGCCGTGCGTATGTAACAAGCTTGCCATTGCTCTCTCTCTCTCTCTCTCTCTCTCTCTCTCTCTCTCTCCTCTTTTCATCATTTTTCTCTCTCATTCTCTCCTCTGCTCTCTCTCTCCTCTGCTTCTCTCTCTCTCTCCTCTCTCTCTCTCTCCTTCTCTCTCTCTCTCTTTCTCTCTCTCCTCTCTCTCCTCCTCTCTCTCTCTCTGCCTCTCTCTCTATCTCTCTATCTTCCTCTCTCTAGCCCTCTATCCGATCCCGCTGGATCCTCTTTTTTTTTTTTCCCTCTCTCCTCTCCTATCTCTCTCTCTCTCTACTCTCGGTCATCCTCCCATCATCTCTTCATCTCTCTCGTCTCTCTCCTCTCTCTCTCTCTCGCACGGCGCGTGCCACTTGCTTGCCTCTCTCTCCTTCATCTTTCTCTTCTTTCTCTCTCTCCTCTCTCCTCCTCTCTGCCTCTCTATCTCTTCTCATCTTCTCTCTCTCCGCGCGCGTGGGCTCGCCTCGCGTCTCTCTTTGCTCTCTCCTCTTTCTCTCCTCTACTCTCTCTCTCGCTCTCTCAATCGTCTCTCTCTCCTCTCTCTATCTCTCTCTTTCTCCTTCTTCGTCTTTCTTTCTTCCTACTAATCGTCTCCTCTCTTTCCCATCATCTTCTCTTCTCTCTCATTCCTCCTCCTTCTCTCCCTCACTCTCTCTCTCTCTCTCTCCTCCGCTCTCACTCTCTCTCCCTTCTCTCTCTCCTTTCTCTCTCTCTCTTCTCTCCTCGATCCCCATCTTCTCATCTTCTGATCTCTCCTCTCTGCCGTCTCCTCTCTCTCAGATCCTCTCCTTCCTCGTCTCCTCTTCCTCCGTCTCCCCGCGTCCTTCTCTCTCTCGTCCTCCTGTCCCTCTCCTC